TGTTGAGAGATGAGGTTTTAGTTTAAATAATAATTAAACCATCTCTGTATGTGCGCAACACTGTTCATACCTGCAGTGCAGGTAGAATGCTAAATAAGGTAGGAGTGATGTTAGGCAAAGCCTCCATATACTTAGGAATGGTTTATAAATTGTTCACCAGCTAGACCCTTTTCTCAGGTTCAGGACATTTCAGGTTTCTTCTGAAACACTTTCACTACAAAGCACATCTGTTGTTCTTGCCAACAGGCCTGAAGATGACAAGCCCATGCCTCCACAACACAGGCTTCAGGGGATATCTTCCTCACCACCCCTGACCTCGTCTCTGGCTGTCTACTGACTTCTACTTACGCTCTGTGGTGGACACAGATGAGGGAATGTGTTCTGTGTCCATATCCAGGGCTGAGGATTGGATGGTTTCATATTTCCACTTAGAAAGTTCCATGCATCACTTAAGACTGTGTCTGAGTCTTACCTTGACCTGAAACTTTTCCTGAAATCCCAGCCCCCAGTGATCCCTGTCCTATCTCTGAACTCCCGAGCCACAGGTCTCCACAGGAGCTTATCTCCAACAGATCTGTGTCTGGTCTTCCCCATCCAGCTGAGAGCTCCCAGAGGATGACAGTGCTGTGGGACCTTGTGTGTTTCCTACAGCCACCAGCACAGAGGGAGCCACGGAGCAGATGCTCGGGATGTTCTTGCTGAGGATAATCACTATCTTCAGCCTTATTGTCTTGGTGTTTTTCACATACCATGCTAGCCATATACACGACAGAGCCACTTCTGGAGCAGAACAGCTCCTTCCTCTCAAACAGGCAGGAGATAGACAAATCAACATTCAAATGGCTTCAGCCAGAACAAAATTATCATGATATATTCTCAGTCCCCAGTAATCTAATTAGAAGCATTAGAGTATTTGCCTGAGTTTTACCAGCAATTTTCCTTATCACCTGCATGATTAGCTACATAATTTGTGGGGCCCAGTGCAAAATGAAAATGTGAGATCCCCTAAGTTTCAAGATGGTGACAGCAGAGCAGTAAACTAAACCGCCCAGGTTCCACATCCATGAAGCCTGATTGCCTGAGAATACTAATTTCCTTAACTTCGACATAGAGTGTTTCAGGGGGTTAGTGGGGTATCATCTGGCCTCCACAACCAAAGGGAGTAGGTGCGGGAGCAGGAAGGAGATAGAAAACATTCCACACTTGCCACAGTAAAGGAACTGACCTATCAGAACAGACTCCATTGTCTGCAGCTAGCAGGAGGGCATAATGTCTCTCCTACAAGCAAGTACTTTTTTTCTTTTTTCCAAACAGAAAGTCTTTTTTTTTTTTTTTATCAATTGACAAAGAGATTGCCAATATCAATGGTAGGAAAAGGTAGAAACAAAAATAAGAAAAGTTTTGTATGGAGATAACCATGACAGAAAGGAAAGACAACTTTTGGAAGTTGGCATCAGTAGATAGAACTCCAGGAGAGAAGATCACACCTATAATGAAAATGATGTCTTATTTTTTAGATCCTTCTGTAACCAGTCTATCAGCTTCATCATTGCCTTTGATGCCTAGATGACCAGGAACACACCGTCACTAAATATCCATGCTTGGGAAGCTTGCTCAATCTTCTAAACATCGTTTCTGTTGACAGCACCTCTTCCAGAAGCTGTTTTCCATTCAGTTTGTTTCCAGTTATCAAAACATTCTTTCATGCCTTTGATGACAAACTTGCTATCAATTTCAATGGTGACTTTATCCATATTTTGACTCTTTGCTTGTTCAATTGCTGTGGCCTGCCTTCAGTTCCGACATTTGATTTGTCCGTCGTCCAGAAACTGTCTCACATTCAGAGGTTGCTGGGTCCCCAGTAAACGCCATCTCCAGCTTGTACAACATATCTCCCATTATTTTTGCAACTACTGTCTACATAAACAGTTGGAGTATGTTCTGCAAAACATCAATTGCCTTGGCCCCTAAACAAAGCCCTGTCCATGTTGGTCCCTGGAGTTCATGGCCAACTTTTCTATTGTGATCCATCAGCAATCTGGTCCCTGTGGTCTCCAGTCATCAAATGCTACTCTAAATGAGGTAACTGATTAAGTGATTTGTTCAAAGTGGCAATTTGTAGGTCTCCTGCTTTCCCAGTCCTCCCCTTTAGCTTCTGACTTCACCTATAAGTGATTCCATGAGATTGTTCTGGAGGCTAGAAGTCTGAATTCAGGGTATCGGCTCTAGGGAAAGGTCTTTCTTTATCTCTTTCAGCTTCCAGTAGCTGCCAGCAACTTTTGGCATTCCTGGCCTTATAGATTCATCTGCCTGTATCTTCACATGGTGTTTCCCCCTGTGTGTGTCTGTGTCTAT